TCTGGTCTAATCTCGTGAGATAAACCCATCACAGGGTGGGATGCTTCAAACTCCAAGGAGCTTAACTGTACTTTCCATCTGGATGTTGGCACGGATAGCACTGCATGTCTTTGTTCCATGCTTTCTTGCCTAATCTCTGCTCCCCTCTGCCAACCCTCTTGTCCCTGTTTCTGCTTGTCTCTCTGAGGATCCCAGAGAGGAATTCCAAAGACTTTGGGGAAGGCAAGGCTCTCTCATGATGCAGTATGGATTTGGCTGTTGTGCCTCCATTCTAGGGGTCCCTACTACCTTATCTTTTAATACAGATAGAAATATACAGTCGCCTTGTAGAAGCCTTATCATGTTTAATTGACATAATTTTTTTTTTCTGTGTGCTGAACACTTGGTCTCTAGTGTTTTTTCCATTTTCACAGCTGCCTTCTGTGCATCTCAGAGCATTTTCCTGTTTGTGGAAGAGCCTTATGATCCAGTTGAAGGCTATCGTTTTGAGAGGTATACAGATATCTTACGTATTGAAAATAATTGTGTAGCCCAGATGATTTACATTTAATGTCTGAGAACACTACAAAATGTCCCTGGCTGCCCTAGTTTATCTGAGTGCATGTTCTTTGTAGTAATTTATCAGAAGATGTTAATGCATGCCTTGCCCCAGAGCCTCTCCTACGTGAAAAAAAATTAATGTTGATACAAGTCCAACTGTAGCTCGTTCTGCATAAGCATATTCAATCACAGTGGCTAACAAAGCATCAACTGCAACCAGACAACTGTGAAGGAATATTCCTGTCCAAGGCAGGTGGAAAACTCTAGTGTGTAGAAAGTCTGAGTGGTTTTGGAAATACTCTTTAAGCACCAAGCAATATGTGCTGTCTTCTTTTTTAATAAGCATGGCCTCTAGCAAAACTTAATTTTCATAGCATCAGTTTACCATTATCTGAGGGCCAACTGCTTAGACCTTTGCCAGAATTGACTGCGCAATTAAGAAATGGTGGAGAAGGCTAAGGCAATCATGAAATTACACAGGGCATCAGCTGAAGGCCTGAACCAATGTTTCAAAGACCCCTTGATTTTGAGCTACTCTAACGTGGGAAAAGTCAGACCTGGCAGACTTTTCTTTTGAAAACTCTTGGCAGAGATTTCTTTCACCAAAGGGCTTGCTGTGTTTGCTCTTCTGGGGGGACAGGCATGGACTGGATTTGGATGCAATGGGAAAAAAAAATGTAGTCAGGGCAAAACTGCCTGTGTAGAAGCGCCTACACCAATTAACAGCTTACCTCACAGCTGGGTTCTCTCTAAAGGTGATGCTTCACTGCTTTTAGAGGAGTTGACATAACATTACTGAATCTGAATATTAAAACTGCATCAGATTGTCCTGGTGATGTAATTGAGGAAGTAGTATCAGCCACTGTGGGGATTTCATCCCAAGATGTGACAGGAAGAGTCTTAGCTGTGGTGATGTGCTCCTACCACCCCCCCCGTAAGCCATAACCACTAGTGGGGGATCATGATGGCTGCATCTGGCTTAGGCTGGACTTTGGGGGATGGATGGCAACAGGGTAGCCAAGGGCTGTCTGGAACAGTGACCCAGATGTCTTGCTGGTATGCAAATATGACTGTAAGTCAATTGTCTTACTCTATAAATAGTGACCAGCCCAAAGCCTGTTGAGCTTTCCTGAAATGACAGCAGGCTGCACGTGAGGATCTCCCGAGTAGGGACACCTCTCAAGGCTACTCCTTGAGGCTGAGCAACTCCTTGCCGCAACCGATCCTCGCTAAGTGACTAATAGCATGCTAAACTTTGAAATCTTAGCTAAGTGACAGAAAGGATTGATTGCACATATAAAATCCTTTATACATAAACCATCGATCAAGTCTGGGCCTGGGCCCAGCCACACCTAGACTCCTCTCTGAGGGGATTAAAGAGCAAGGGGGCCCCTTCTGAGCCTCATGACTCGACAGGTCTCCCTGACAGTGTTGTCTGAGCCTGCCCTCTATGCAGTAAATAATCAATTGTACCTTGCTGTTGAACTTGCTAAACCACTGTTGCATTCACCATTGCACTTTGTTAACTCACTGCTTTCTATCAAGATATTGTTGCTTCTCTCGTATGAGTGAAGCACGACTCCATCCACGCAATTAATGGAATTACCCTTGGTCGCAGCAATGGCCAGATGGCTCTGGGCCAGGGGAAACTCCTTCACAAAAGTCTGCAGAACTGAGGAGTTTCACAGCAAACTGAAGGCCAGCACGGCGATCCCTGCCAGACCTTATTTGTATATACTTGGATGATCTATCAGGTTAGGTATCTTCCCTGTCATCCTGTGTGCCTCCTTCGGGGATTTGCTTTGAAATTTGCTTTAATGTATGAGCAAACAGAACTTGCTGTGAAGTAAAGCAGAGTCGGAGTTGCTTGTCACCTACTGCACAAGAAGCATCCACAGCTGTGGTAAACATGAGGTGCCTTATGTGCCCATGAAACCTCCCTAGGGATGTACAGACTGAAAACCAAGCTGAAAACATTTTCTATGTCTCTTGCCTAATGCTGGCAATCAGAGCAGAGTCTGAAGAACTGGAGAGGTGGCTTTCAGCCTTCTCAGACCCTGGAAAAAATACAAAGGCTTCTCTCTTGCTTGACAAGTGGTCCCACCATTAAGCTATGACACCAAAATTGCATCTTCCTGTCTTAGGACATGAGCATAGTACTTTGTCAGGAGGTTAGTCCTATCAAAGGTGGTAAGCAGTGACCAAAGCCTGTTCTTCAGAGGACTTCTGGTTGAAGCAAGAGAGAGATGTGCTGCACAGGCCAGGCCAGTTCTGCTTCTCCACACTGGGCAGCAACACAACTTAATACAGCAGAGAGCAATGAGTTTAGATGGCACTTGATGCAGCACTGCATTGATCACCATCTGGATGCAGACCCCTTGGTTCTGTCCACATCCTGCTGGAGGTATGTATTCTACTGGACTGTACCCTTAGATATTGTTTCTAGTAACATATATGTACATATATATTGTTATATAAGTATTTAAAAGCATGATCTAAGTACGTAAGACTTCTGTAAGTCCAAGACTGCCATCTACAGTCATCTACACAGTGGTAGCTGGTGTTTCACAGCACCAGTATCTCATTACAGCACTACGGCACTTTCACGCTAGCATGCCTAGGGAACCCTGAAAAACAAAAGGCAGAATGATCAAATATACCAGCCAACTGCAAAGGTGGTTTGAGTCATGATTCCTAGAGAGAAATAGAGCTAGTGCCTCCTTTTCCCTGGAGGACCGGTATCTACTCTGGTTTTGCTTCAGCATTTGATGAAGTCCTGCCTCGGGGATAGCTGACATCTGATTCCACTGTTTTGCACAAACACCACTCACTTCACAGTGAAGTAAAGGTGCAAAATACAGAAAATAAGATTGAGGTATTTTAAACCCACTTAATCCTCACCAAAATAATTTTGAAAGCAGCAAGGCAGTGGGAAGCCAATTGCCCTTTGGGTTTTTTTCTCCACAGCAGTTAGATGGAGCATTTGGTCTGAATGAACTGAAGGAGGAAACAGATTTTGCTAAAAGTCACTGGGGTTGTGGTCCAGGGAGACTGAATTCACAATGGGTTCAAGTGCTGATACAATGTTACCATCACCTATAAGAAAGACAGGTGAGAAAAGGCTAGATGAAAGCCTTCTGCCCAGATAATAAAGGAATTGGTGAGACAGGATGGTTCAAACCTGTCCTCAGATTTGTCTGATCTTTGCTAAGGCTGTAGCAATAGCTTTCTTTTTAAAGGAAGTTATCAACCACCTTTGGAAGCTGCTCAGGTCAGTTACAATTGACAAAAAAAACCACCCCCAAACAAAGAAACCTCAGACCATGATTTTATTTTTTGCCAGTGACAGACATTTGCCTCTTGCCAGCCAGTTGGGGAAAAAAAACCAAAAAACCCAACCCAAAAAACCAAACCTAAAACCAATTAACAAGATCCCTCAACTGTGTGAGGGAGGCTAATTAGCCCCTGAGGAGGGGTTGCTAATTGATTATGTGATGCCCTGTACTAGAGGCTTGGGAAGAAAGGGTTCCACTGAAGGGGACTGTACCTATTAAACTGAAAAACAGCATTTAAAAAAACAATTCTTACCCTTTTCAGTTCAGTACGTTCTTGTTTCTGCTGTGACATAGATACCCTTACTGAAAGGACAGCTCAGGGACAGGAATACAAACACACTCTGTTCCCAAGAATCCGGGCTTGCTTAGCTGCTGCCTTGGCCCTGCTATGCCCTACCACTTCCAGACCAATCTTATCCCCCTCCTACAGCTAGAAGGACCTTACCCGTAGCGCCAGCACATTTCAGATCCTGCCTTTGGACACGGCTATAGCTGGCCGTGGTCAGCAGCTCGGTGCTCTGTGGCGGGCGGCTCCCTGTCAGGAGTGTCACACAGTGAGAGCTGAGACACTGCCAGAGGCACCAACTGCTACAGAGGGAGGAGAACTCTATTCACTGTCCCATTCATGTGACTGGGAGCTTTACAGAGTCAATATATTTAATTGATACAAAACCAGCGGACAAGACTGCTATATAGCACTTTCCTTGCTAAAGGAGACACTCCAAAAGCAGCTGCAGTGCATGGTTACTATGTGGCTTCTTAAGCCTGAGGTCTTTTGTTTTAACTTTCATGCAAAACATTTGTTATCAAAATGTATTTTATTCTTAACAGGGTAGTTAAAATGCTATGGGTATCCCTGATTATCATTTCCTTTTTTCCTTGCAGACACAGGAAGTTGTTTCATCTTGCTTCCTCTGTCATTGGTCAGAGGACAGAAAATTTTACTTCAAGGTGTGTGAAAAATTGATTTTTACAAAAAATTTCTGACTAAAGAAAAATATCTGCTAAAATGAGCAAGAGGTCCAACGTGAAATAAATTTCAAATCTGGTTCAGCACAAGAACTCTGTGGTTAACTGAATTAGGAAAACTAGGAATTTTTTTTATGCCAAGTAGAGCAGATGGTATTAAAACTCCTCTTCAGCTTGTCTGGAGCGAGAGCATTTCAGTTCCAGCAGTCTCTTCACAGTGTCTGCAATTGTACGCTCACCGTGCACCTTGTTATCTCGGGTGCGGATGTTAACCGTTCCACTTGCCTTCTCCTTTTCACCAACAACTAAAAACAACCAAGATGCAAAGGAATGAACTTAAGATTTAGCAAGCTCTTCCCCCGCCCCCCCATTCCCTTAAAACTTAGGCATACTAAACAAGAATTCTAAAAAGCCTACCAACCAACACATCAAATCCTTCTTTGCCCTCCTCCCAGATCCCCCCACTTAGATCTGTAACAATCATTGCCCTTACTTAATCTTGTATCATCTAATAGGTTTTAATATGTTATGAACAGCAACTTAGCAAAATATGGGTAAAGAGAAAAGTAAACGTAGTAAGTCCAGCTTGACTCACTTCTTATTAGAGACAACCACAAAGTCAAAATAAGAAATAAATATGAAGTACTCCACAGGCAAAGATTAGAGACACAAGTTGATTGCAAATAACAAATAGCTATTTGTTTTCTGTACAGAGACAGCAAGACAGTTTACTAGAAAATCCCAAAGCTATTTTACTTAAACATTAAGATACAGATACCAAGATAACGATGTATGTTTCATTACTAATAAAAATTTTATAATACACTTGAAGGTTGCTACAGGAAATTGTATTTCTCTGGTACCTGATCTATATTCAGTGGGACAACGCTTTGAAAGAACGTCTGAATATAAATTTTGTGAGGTTTTTTTCCCCTGATAGGCTAATCATTTGTTTGTAGTCTTGAAGGTAAAATGTGGTTGTGTCTTATCTGTATCATATGCTTAAAGTTTTAAGGAACAAAAAAAACTTTATTCGTGAGTCTACCAATTACTCTGCCGGTTGAGCTTCTCTGTCAAAGACTCCTTCTACTCCAAGGGATCCCAGATAGTTTTAGGGTCTCTATTTACATGACATGACTAGCATGGTACTTCAAATCACACACTTCAGGGGCAGTTTCTTATTGTCCCTGCATCACCCTCTTGTGGAGGAGTCTTCTCCTATGCATGCATGTATAGCTCAGAAGTGCACTACAGCTAAAGCTCAGAAGTGCACTGAAAATATGGTACTTCTTTTGCTACACTTGAAACGAGCATAAATTATTGGGGGGGAGGAATTGCTTAACAATCTGACTGACAAAGGGCAAGAGGTTTCATGTATGCCTCCACATTGCTGACTAGAACACCACAGTAACCTTTTTCTAAAACAGCAGTAATGCCTTGGGCTATCCTGCAGGCAGGAGAGGCTCTCTGGAATGGAGACTCTCAGCAGCAAAGTGACCTAAAACACTGACTACCTCTCTCTGCCATGCTCATAGAAGAAAGATCAAATCCTATAACCTATGCAAGAAAGGGTAAGGTAACAAATGCGCTATACGTTACCCAGAATAAAGTTATACTGTGCAAGCTGAGCATTTCTGATCTTCTTGTTCAGTGTGCACCCAGGATCTACATCAACATCTGCCATTAATCCAGCATCGTGGAAGTGCTGCCTGACCTAGGAGAAAAAGTATTGAAACTGTCACTATAGGATATTCATGACAATGAACTATTTATGACTTGTAGACTTAAGCCAGTCAAGCTTATCTGACCCTTAAAGCAAAGGCACTGTCATTGGCTCAGGTGCTGGAGAGGAGCCCAGTTCAATAAAGGAAAACAGGTCAGCTACATGCAAGTACATACACACTAAATAACTAAGCAGTGACGTGAACACCTGATGTTTTGGACTGAATAGTGATTTGAGTTTGATACTATGAAAGGCAGCAGGATGGTGCACCTTTCTGATTAGAAATTTTTTTTGTTATTTTTCAGACTTATTTATGTATCATGTGCTTGACAGAAATACAGGAGAAGGTCTGCTGGATGCTAAATATGCAAAGACCAATCTTCATCTTTCTTCCTGCTTTTTGCAAGATGCACATGGCCATGGGAGACTAGAACCTGAAGAGTAAGACAGCTTTTGAGCTAGAGAGAGAAAAGCTAAGTTTTCCAAAAATAAAAGCCTCACAAAGATCAGCAGGTGTTTTTTTTAGATATCCAAAAATCTATTTCAGGTCCTCTTTAAGATACATCTACAACTTCAGCAGCTAATTGTCATTGTAACATAAAAATTATACAATGCAATATGCAAAGACTGACAACATTTTTCTCAGATAAATGCTATTAATGATTAATAACCACGTATCTCAACTAAATACAATATACTAAAAAAAAAGCCCCCAAACCACATACATCACCTTTTGAGCATACTCATCACACGTTGGTCCCACCGGTACCACCATTACCTGCTGTGGGGACAGCCAGAGTGGCCTTCAATAAACAAACAAAACATGTTTATATAGCTATCAGTATTTTTTTTAAGTATGAAAAATCCTCATAACAGATAGGACTAAAATCTACACAAGATTTTCATAAAGGTGGCTGCTTAGATTGGGTTCAGAGGTGACGACAGCCCTATACTTGTTGGAATTTATCTCCCAAAAAGAACTAAGCATCTAAAAGAATTGCAGTGTGGACAAAAGCACTTTTTGACCTGAAGATTCAAGTTGTGTTTTACAACAGACAACAAATCATAATTGGGTTGTTGAGCTTATTACTAACTAATCATGGGAGAACATTTACTTTTTAAGTTTTGTTATAATCAGAGAGGTCATCCCCATCAGGTATTACACTGCAGCAGGTAAAAGAGATGACCTACATAAATGACTTGTTGCAAGGCAGCCCAGCTGCAAGGGGGACACACACACCTTAGGCAGGCAAGCTGTATGCTCCACCTGCATGAGTGGTATCATGTAGATGCTACCATATTGTATTGTGTTTGTGTGGCCAGGTTTTGGTATTGAGGGGGGGCTACAGGGGTGGATTCTGCAAGAAGCTGCTAGAAGCTGCCCCCATGTCCGACAGAGCCAATGCCAGCCAGCTCCAAGATGGACCCACCCCGGGCCAAGGCCAAGCCCATCAGCAATGGCAGTAGCACCTCTGGGATAACACAGTTAAAGGGGCGGGGGGGAACCCTGTACAACACCAAGAGCAATTGCAGCCAGAGGGAGGAGTGAGAAGATGTGAGAGGAACAACTCTGCAGGCCAGGGTCAGTAGAGGAGGAGGGGAGGAGGTGGTCCAGGTGCTGGAGCAGAGATTCCCCTGCAGCCCATGGAAAAGACCATGGTGAGGCAGGCTGTCCACCTGCAGCCCATGGAGATTGACAGTGGAGCAGATATCCACCTGCAGCCCATGGAGGACCCCATGCTCAAGCAGGTGGATGCACCTGAAGGAGGCTGTGACCCCATGGGAAGTCCACTCTGGAGCAGGCTGCTGGCAGGACCTGTGGCCCCATGGAGAGAGGAGCCCAGACTGGAGCAGTCTGTTCCTGAAGAACTACAGCCTGTGGAAGGGACCAACACTGCAGCAGTTCATGGAGGACTGTCTCCCATGGGAAGGACCCCACACTGGAGCAGGGGCAGAGTGTGGGGAGTCCTCCCCCTGAGGAGGAAGGAGCAGCAGAGACAACCTGTGATGAACTGACCCCAACCCCCACTCCCTGTCCCCCTGGGGGGGAGGAGGTAGAGAATCTGAAGTGAAGTTGAGCTCAGGAAGAACAGAGGGGTGGAAGGAAGGTGTTTTTAAGATTTAGGTTTATTTCGCATTATCCTATTCTGATTTGATTGGCAATAAATTAGTTTTCCCCAAGTTGTGTCCGTTTTGCTCGTGACAGTAATTGGTAAGTGATCTCTCCCTGCTCTTATCTCAACCCATGAGCCTTTTGTCATATTTTCTCTCCCCTGTCCAGCTAAGGAGGGCAGTGACAGAGCAACTTTGGTGGGTGCCTGGCCTCCAGCCAGGGTCAACCCACCACACATACGTAGAATTATTTAATATCTAAGGAATATGGTTCAGAAGGAATTGCCCTGTGGTACACCTACAGCATGTCTCTATAGCAAGTAGAACAAACCCTCTTGATTCTTGCATGCTAGGCTAATTCTCTCCTACATAAAGTATTGCTCAAACTCAAATAATAAATTTACTTTTCAACATTACCATTTGCCTCCATAGTTTTCAGTTAGAATGGCTATCATTCTCTCCACAGATCCCAGGATAGCCCGGTGAATGATAACTGGTCTTGTCTTGTCATTACCATCATTGCTGTGAAGAAAGGTTTGGGTTTATTTAAATGTAAGGTTTTCTTGTTGATGTAAACTTATGCCTGTGACAGGAAAGTTAGATAACACAGCAATTAAACCCACCAGCCTCTGTGCTTACCTGACAAAGGTGAGGTTAAATCTGACTGGCAGCTGAAAGTCAAGCTGGATTGTAGCACATTGGTGGTAGCGGCCAATGGCATCTTTAATCTGAATGTCAATCTTAAAAACAAAAAGACACAGACTTTTACTACAGTTTAAGATACAAGCATGCCCCTCTGAAAGCAAACTCACTGTTTTAAGATGGAAGGTTTCACTCAATACAGAGGAACTATGTGCAGTTTTTAGATAACATACTTTTACTTCAGCCTACATTAGGACTTAAATGATTTGCAGGTTCTGATGCAAAAAATGTTACAGCTAAGAACAGGGTGAGCAAGTAGAGACACATTACTTCAGGGGGAACTACATTTAATAACTCAGACTTTTTTGTGAGTTTCAATCTGGGACTTTCACAGGCCTTTTCACTGAGTGAATTCAGCAACACATAAGTGCAAGATCAGAACTGAACACGTCTCCCCAAAAATGAGATTTCTTCAACTTCAAACCAGCAAATTTCCACTCCTTTATTATGCAGTATTTGAATACTTTGTAGCTTATGTTACAAATTCAGAGTACGGACATGGAATGAGAATCCTAGTGTTAAACAGTCACTTACCAATAGGGATCATCTTAGTCAATGACACTTGTTCTTACTATGAGTTATCTACAGTCAAGTCTATTCTTTCTACTGCATCTTACACTTTAATCCTGAGTAAATTTATGATACAAGTTAGACAGAGAGACGGATAGAAAACAGTGGATTTATAGCATCCTGACTTTATTCATTTATCGTATTGCTCTCTTACTCATCTTTTCACCACTATGGCTGTATGTCGGGGCTGTGTGCCTTATTTTAATTTATGTATCAAACAGATCAGTGTTTTATTAACTAAAGTGCTAAATGTCTTTCAATTTTGCATTTAGAAGCCAGAGTTAATCATAGTTCAGCTTCTATCAAAATAAATTATTTACAACCTTCTTTATTTTTCAAATCACCCAGTTACAGAGTAGAAAAAAAAAAATCCAAGTAGTTTAAAGGTAGCCTATATGTAGAGCTTAACTTTAAAATGTAACTTTAACTAGGTTCCATTAAAACTATTGCAAAATGCTATGTGTTTGCTCACCTTACTTTGGCTAGAGTGTATGAGGAGCAAGTATAAGGTTAATTAAGGTTAACAAAGGTTCCTGTAGATATTTGCCTTCTTTCAAATCAACCGAGCAAATTACTAAATGCTGTTTGCATTTCAGATTATGAATGATTAGCCACTATAACACATTTCACCTACAACTCATAAAATGAAATTGATTCAATTAGCATACAAAGAGAGAAATCAGAATCAGTTTACTAGCTGGCTGAATAAAGACATAAACATAGTCTAGGTTTATTA